TCCCATGGTGGGTGCCTTTTTACACCCCCACACAAGTGCGCGTGCCTCTGGCAATTCACGGGGAGAAAAGGCACGTCTGGTCTGCCACGCAGAGCTGGAGACCTGCGGGTGGGCGGGTGGGAGACGGGTCCCGGGTCCCGGGTCCCGGGTCCCATCAGGCCTATGGTGCTGAGGAGGAGCCAGGAGCCGCCCTGTGTACAGTCAGGCAGACCTAGAGGCTGAGCCTGGGGGAGGACATCGCTGTTGCAGGAACTGTCACAGTGTTTCTGGCCATGTTTACAGAAGGAGCACGGCCTGGGCTGGGCTAGGAAGTGTCCCTGCCAGCGGTGCCTGGAAGGTGCGTTCAGCTGGGACAGGGTCGGGAGCAGAGGCCAACCATGCGTGCTCTCTGCGGATACTCTCTGCGGCTCTGCCGTGGAGGTGCTGCCCTCCTTCCGCCCCACAGTCCCTGGAGGCCGCACTCCCCAGGCTCTGCGTACGGGATCCAGCCCCAGGGCGTGGGCCCACGTGCTGCGGAGCTCAAGAGCTGTCTGGACAGGAGTCTGGATTTCCCGTGGGTGCTGTCCTCAGTGCCACCTTGTGACTGTGCACCACCTGCACCCTCTCTGTGGGACTCGCTCCAGCAGCCGCTCCTGTGGTGTTTCGTGGGAAACGGCTTCGGTCCCTGGGCCCAGCGGATGTCTGTGTGAGCCTAGGAAGAATCCTCCTCCCCTCCTCGATGCTCAGCAGGCGCTCGGGCAGCGTTCAGGCACAGAGCCCCTCAGGAAAGACGTCACAGGTGCTGTCGTGGCATCCGTGGCCTAGTGGGTCCGGGTGCCTTTCCTCTTTGCACCCCGTGATGTCGCAGAGTGGTGGCTCAGCTTCATATGCGGACCTGGAACTGCCAGGGCAGCCGGAGGGCACAGTCACCCCCCACCCCCGCCATCCCTGTGTCTGGGGTGGTTTAGGTTTTAGTTTTGCTTTGGGGCTCGCTTCTTTGTGTTCATTGAGCGCCACCTGTTGGCTCCTGAGACTAGGCAGGACCTGGGCTGGTGGCAAGATACCTGCCACTTGGGGGCCCTGAATCCGGTTTCATGTTGGCCGTGTGGAAGGCAGGGAGAACCCTGAAACCAAACCCTGTCCGACTCGGTGCCTTGCCTACCAGCTTTAATTTTGGTTTCCGTGTGTAACTGCGGTCGATGTAGTCAGACTCCGCGAAGACGGTCTTGTGCCCACTCTGGCTCACTCTCTTTAGCACACGGGAAAGGCTGGGTTTATATCTTTTACGATAGAGACTGCATGTGTGCCTGTGGACGGAGAGGGACAGAGAGGGAGGGAGAGCCCAGCACCCTCAGCGGGGTCCCAGCCTCCCCGTCCTCAGATCCTGGGCACCTGTGCGCATGCCTGGCATGCCTGCAGTCCGACCTGGATTCCAAACCTGGGTCGGCCGTGTGGCGTCCAGCCTCTGCTGCACCCAGCGGTTAGTTCTCAGCAGCCTGGCAAGGCACCGGAGGCCGTCCGCTCCCAGGAGTCCTGTTTCCCTCGGACCCCTCTCCCCTGGCTCTGCGGGCCGTAAATGCGGGATCAGGATTCTGGCCCTGTTGAGCTCAGGGGAAATGGCCTCTGGATTCTGGCCTTCGGAATGAGGAAGATATGTTAATTATAAGGCTGTTCTGGTTCTGCTTTATTTTTCCTTAGGAAAGGGGCAGGGACAGTTGTGTCTCCTGGCTTGGTGCCAAGCTGCCGGGCAAACTCGCAGCGAAGGGAGGAGGCTCGGCTCTGTCAGAGGTAGAAGGAAGCTCATGTCCTCTGGCATGTCGTCCGCCTCCAGGCTTGACCCAGAGGAGCCCTCACAGGCCAGGCAGAAGGGACAGCCTCTAGGCCGTGGCCTAGATGGGAGCGTCCTGCTGGCTGCCCCGGCCGCCTTTGTCCCTGCAGCCCTCACCCTCCCTCAAGGCTCTGCACACGGCGGCACTGGCCTTGGCAAGGCCATGTACTCATGGAGAGGGCGCCTGCTCTGCCTCGCCCGGCCCTGTCCTCGGTTCCTGGCTCTTTGCCAGAGTACAAGGGCGTGAACAGGAAGCTTTTAGGAGCATCGTTCTGCGGCTCCTGGGGTCCCAGGGGCATCCTGTGCCCGGGTCTCCTCGCCAGTGTTGAGAGCAGGTACCTGGAGTCCCCTCTCCCTGTGAAACGTAGAGAATGTCGGACATAACCACACCCTCAGTAGAAACCCAACCGGTGAGGTGGCTCACATCTGACGATTCACTTTAGGGCTTACATGTGTACATGTAAGTGCATGTGTGTGTCCATGTGCACACGTGTAGACACACCGTCTCAGTCCTTGTCGAGCGCTCTGAATGAGCCAGCAGGATGGGCCAGGAAAGCCGAGTGCCCGCCGAGTGCGTGGCTGCTGTGCGCTTGTGCTGTCCAGGCCCCGAGGTGGCCCGTGGTCTCATGCAGTGGCAGGAAGGAGGCCTGTGACTGTGCCGACACCCCTGGCCCTGATGACGGAGGCGCCGCCACCTGGGCCCTTGTGTGCCGAGGGGATGTGCTGCGACCTCTCTCGGAGCGCGGCCCCTGGCCTGGGCCCCTTGCCGAGCAGGTGCATGGGCAGGGCCTTGGGTGTTGCACACAAGTTTCCAGGTCACTTACTGTTTACGTCGAGGGCTTCCTCCGGACACTCCGGCTGCCGTGACCACTGCACACCTCCGCCTTTCTGAGTGGGTTTGGAGAAGGGCAGGGCTGTGGCCTTCGGTTAGGAAAACCCCACAGAGTCGGGCCTTGCCATCTGCAGCCACAGCAGCCAGGTGCAGGAGGCATGGCCACCAGGGGGTGTTCTTGCCTGCCGGTAGCTTCGCTTGCACACACTTGTAGCTGACTCAGTGGAGAACTGCTGCTAATTTCATATTTTTATGCTCTTCCTGCTGTCATGGAGAGTGTGAAAGAGAGGCAGGCACCCCTAACAGGGTCTCACGCTGCAATCGTCCCAGCCCTCCCGGCCAGGCAGGATCACTTACGCCACATTTAAAGGGCAGCCAGGGAATTGAACCTAGGAGCCTTCATATGTGTCCAGCTTCACTTGAGCAGCGCCCCACCAAGTTGGCTCTCTTAGCTCACTTTTTTGCTGTAAGATTTGCGTGCTTTTCAGAGAGAGACCAGGAGAGGGGCAGGATGTGAGGGACCATCCCTGGGGGGGGGGAACATGCATCCTCTTCTCTATTCTTCTCTTGGGATTTTGGACACACACACACACACACACACACACACACACACACTCAGCGTGGTTTTCAAGCTGCAGGGTCCAGGACTTGAACCACACAGCTAGCCATGTGGGACCTAGCGCCTTAACCACCTTGATACCTGCTAGCCCACTCATATTATTTTCTTATGGTTTGTTTATTTATATATTCCATGAAAGGGGGCAAGCAGGCAAGCACCGCTAACAGGAGCCTCACATGTGGTCTCCGAGCCTCAGCGAGCCAGGATCAAGGGGCCAGGGTACACAAGGAGACCTTGGGATATGAACCTGGGACCTTCCCATATGACTTCCACGTCACCGAAGCACTGAGATACTGCTGCAGCCCTGCAGCTGGCCTCAATGAAGAATTTGTGGGGAGCCAGCAGTTAGCGTAATGGCTATGTTGCTGGACTCCCACGTCGACCACGGTTTGCCTCCCGGACCCGGTGGCTTAAAACTCACACCGGGTGCGTGTACGTGCGTGCCCAAGATCCCGAGAGGAGAATGGAGGAGAAGGGATTGTGGCGTGACCATCCCCCCTGGGGGGTGATTTCTCGTTTTCTGTCTCTATATCTCTCTCTGTCTCTCTGGCGAGTGCATGCACCCTATAGCGAAAACCTCTCCAAAAAAAAAAAAGAATTTGTGATTGAGTTTCTACTACGTGCCAAGACAACCGTGGGGCCTTCTCTAGAGAAGCCACAGTCTCTGGCAGGGACACTGCTATGTGGAGTGTTCTGGGTGCTGTCCCAGAGGCCTAGTGGGCTGAGGGACTCTGATGGGATGGGCACCAGGCAGGGAGAGGCCAGGGCAGAGCTGGTGCTGGAGTATCATCTGGAGTCGGTGGTGGATGAGGGAGCCCCATCAGGAGTGAGGACCGTGTGGCAGAGGCCGGGAACAGGAGGGGCCCTGCAGGTGCTGAGGCCAGTGGGACATTTGTGGGCCTGGAGTTTGTAAGTGTGTCGGGACTGGCAGCGGAAGAGGTAGGCCAAGGCAGGTGGAAGTTGGTTTTCATTCAGTGGTCAGCAGGTTTCTTTTACATTTTTAGTTATGGAAAATTTTAAAGAAATTAAAAAGTAGGCAAAAGGGGCCGACAGGTGGCGTTGTGGTTACAGGCGCTCGATTCCCACTTGGCCAACCGTGGTTCAAGTCCTAGACCTGGTGGCTTGCTTTCTTGTTTTCCCTTTCTCTCTCTCTCTCTCTGGTCAAATAAAAAAAAATCAAATGGAATTAAATAAACAAATATTAAAAAAATATATTTAGGGACCAGCAATTGGCGTAATGGCTATGTTGCTGGACTCCCATGTAGTAAACTGTGGTTCAAGTCTCGGACCCGGTGGCTTAAACTCACACTGGGCGCATGTGCTTGTGTGCCCAAGAGCCCAAGAGGAGAATGGAGGAGAAGAGATTGCGGCGTGGCCATCCCCTGGGGGGTGGAATTCTTGCTTTGTCTCTCTGTCTCTCTCTCTCTGGCGAGCACATGCGCCCCATAGCAAAAACCTCTCAAACCAAACAAACAAAAGCGATTTAAAAGTAAAAAGAAGTAGGCACGAGAGTATAGTGAGCGCCACACACTGTCACTTGCTCCCGTAGCTGTAACGGGGCTGGTCTCCGAAGACATTGCGCCAACCGCCTAATTCCGCAAAGATATCCCGAGGTCAAGCCTAGTCCATGGTTGACAGTGGGTCCATCAAGTGTCAAGGGGCCTGGAATGATTGGGAGGCACTTTTCAGTTCACTTTGTTTCAGGAGAACCACTGAGTCTCCCACCTTGTCCTGCCTTTCAGTGGGAAGTTGGTGTCTCCGAAGTGGAAGAACTTCAAGGGCCTGAAGCTCCAGTGGAGAGACAAGATCCGGCTCAACAACGCCATCTGGCGGGCGTGGTACATGCAGTGTAAGTGCCACTTGGACCTGGGAGCAGGAGGGGACCGCAGGGCCCCCAGGCCCTGTGGGTGCCACGTTCTGCCACTGGGAGGCCTGAGCCCTGGGGTTCCAGGGTCTGCTTGGGGACCGTGTATTTCACGCTGAAGCCTCTCGCCATCTGGAGGTGGGGAAACCCAGCCAGACCCAAGGGCCCCGGACACTTAGCAGCCCTCAGACAGGGCAGGCCAGTACAGCCGCCTCTGCCATGGAGCTGCCCGTGGTCCCACAGGTATGGCACGGTTGCCTGGCATCATCCTACATGTGGGCCTAGTGTCAGAACAGCGGAGGAGGAGGGTTCACTTCAGGGCTCGGGGGGTGTACTAGGCAGGGGACGTTTGCCATAGGGCGGGCGCCACCACGCCCTAGGCAGGGGACGTTTGAAGGTGCTGATGGGGCGCATCTCATCCTCAGCAGGTCTGACGGGCTACAGCCTGCGGCCTCGCCCACAGCTCCAGCTAGCTTGGTGCCGGAGGCCCAGTGATTTCTCCAGGACCTGAGGGGGACCTTTCCCTGACGGGCAGACTCCCTTCTTGCTCAGGCAGTACTGACTGATGAGCCCGATACCCTGGCCTCTGGCCTCCGTGTTCCCCAGCTCTCCAGTTCTGCATACTGCAGAAGGCCTCCCACTAAGGGCGGCGACAGGCAGGGCGGCTCCTCTGGGATCTCGGTCATGGTGATAACGGTGCATCTGTCTCTGCCCAGATTTGGAGAAACGCAAGAATCCCGTTTGCCACTTTGTCACTCCTTTAGATGGCTCCGTCGACGTGGATGAGCATCGCCGGCCAGAGGTACTTGGTGTGTGACGAAGGGTGGCTGGGCGAGGGGACTGTGGGAAGAGCACCGGCACCACAGTCTCCTGTCGGCCGCGTGACCTGCAGGAGGGACGTGGCGTCGGGAGGTGGCCTCGAACACCCTCAGACATGGTCCCTTCTCAGGCAGGCTGACCTGAGGACCAACGGGCTCTCTAACCACTACTTATCTTCTACTTTAATTTAAAATTGGGGTTCCTGGGCCAGCAGGTGGCATGATGGTTAGGGCACTGGACTCCCACATGGTCAGCCGCGGTCGGAGTCGCAGACCTGGTGGCTTGCTTTCTCACTTTCTTTCTCTCTCTCTTTCTTACTCTGTCCCTCTCTGGTCAAATGAGAAAATAAATAAATAAAATAAAGTTAAATAAGATCATTCTTTTAAAAAAAAATAATAAAGTTGGGGTTTCTTCTCTAAGTCAACAGGGAGGAATTCTGGCTCCTTGGGTGTCAGACACGAGCCACCTTAGGGTCTTTATGTTCCGAGGCGGAAGAAGGAGTGATGGAAAAGGCCCAGTGGTATGTTAGTGCCTCATGTCGGCCGAGCATGGGTTTCTGTGCGGCCTAGTGCCCAGGGATGTCTAGAGACATGTACAGAAATCTTCGTGTGTCTTTCTGAGCGGACTGGGTTATGGTGGATGCCAGGGGGGGAGGCCAGGCTTTGTTTCTCTGTGTACTCTGCTGCCTTGTTTTAATTTAGTTCAAGCGTGTCTTACCGTTGTGCAGAAGGGGGCAGAATTGGAAAGAAACCTAATAAAAGACAGTTTTGCCATACCCGGACATGATCCTCGGCCAGGTGTGGTGGTACTGGAAACTGTGTGTCTCTGTATGACACGGACTCACCAGAGGAGGACAGAAGGGAAGAGCACCCCCGACGGGGCAGTCACACAAGTCCCTTCTCCATTTCTCCATCTTGTCAGGACTTGGGGCGCACACGCATACATGTCTGGCATGTTTTTCAAACTGCCAAGGCAGAGATTCAAACCACAGACAGCCACGTGGGACCCAGCTCCCTTAACCACTAAACTATAGCTCTGTTTCTTAAATTTCGTTTGGTTTTATTTTCATTTTTTCTATAGTGCACATGCATTTGACAGAGATGACAGAAAGAGAGAGAGAATGTGAGAAATCACCCCCTGGGGAGGATGGCTGTGCTGCAATCCATTCTCATCTTGGGATTTTGGGGCACACATGCACATACGCCTGGTGTGATTCTCAAGCCATCAGGTCCAGGACTCAAACCATGCAGTCGGCCTTAACCTCCATGCCACCCGCTGGCCTGCCCATAGCTCTTAAGAAATGATTTATCAGGGCTGGCAGGTGTTGTGGTGGGTGGGGCACTAGACGCTTACGTGGCCGACCACAGTTTGAGTCCTGGACCTGGCAACTTGCTTTCTCACTTTCCCTTTCTCTCTGGTCAAATTAAAAATAATAATAATAACACATTTTTAAAAATTAAATAATTCTTTTTTTGAAAAAAGATTTTTCACAGTTCACGATGCACCCTGAAATGTACGTGGGTAAAATGACCTAAGACTTGGGGTCCAGCAGAGGAGCGCTGTCAGGCAGGGGTGTGTCCTGGTCACCGCAGTGCTGCCAGGCTGTTGCGGAGTCCTTTATGCCCGGCACGTGGGAAAGTTCTGAACTAGAGCTCCCGGAGGTGTTTCTGCCTGACACTTCCTGTGATTGGCCGTTCTGCTTTTACCCTCCGCAAGCCTAGCAGAGGCTTCTGAGAAGGGCATCGGAGGGAGCGGC